TCTGGGCTCATCGTCTGTATATAGTATGCATCATCAATAAGGTGACAAACTGAATTTAATCTTTCAATAATTTAGCACATTAGTACAAACCTGGTAAAAATAATTGGAAAGCCTTGTTTTGCCCTGCAGATGGGTGTAAGAGTGTGACGTCCTGTGAAAACTATAAATACCAAAATTGTTTATGTATGTTTACTTTATGGTCCATTGTTCAAAAAGGCTTTAAAACAAATACAAAATTGAACATTATTAATATTATATGAACTGCACCGGCCTAAAAATATGCAAAATAACTGATTTGATATGAATTATTAAATAATTAGCAAACATGATTTAAAAGTGCATTGAGTAGTTCACTAGTTAGCGCTAGCATCGTTGTTCTTCATGTACTCTAAATACCATTAACACAGTGGTGTTTAACGTTACATTGCCATCTATAGACATGAATCAGCCTAGATGTGAAATTTTAGAGAGAAGAAACAAAGACTTTCTTAATGGTTGTCATTGCTTATCTCAGCTTAATGTAACAAGTATGTAAATTACATTGACAATACTGAGATTTAGAGATGTTTCTGCATTTTTAAGTAACGCATCAGAAACTTAATTTGCAAAAATGTTTTTACACTCGCTCAACGGGGTTTTTGACTTGTGCAAAAAAGACTTGTGCAAACAATACTATGCCACTAGTGTAGCCACAGAGGCAGCAGCCAATGAGTGCGAGGATTCTCTCAGAAGATTAGCAAAAAACCACAGGGGGGTCATTTAAACATGGCCAAATACAATAAATGGGGCATTCATAAACTATTATGAATACATTCTTCATCTCATTTGAGCGTATACTGTTCACAAAAACATAATTTGTTTCTTAATGTGTTAAACTTACTATTGAATGCACCTTTAATAATTATAGTTAATATGTGATGTAATTTGTTTGTGATGCATTTGTTGATGTAAACAAGAAAATATATTGAACGTTTTTAACATTTCTTTTTTTGCATGGCTATATTTGTATTGTGTTGCATTTATAATTTTTGTTTTTTTTTCCTTGCTGTCTGTGACCTGACTTAAAGTATTCACATATGCAAGGTGTCACAATTCACATATATTGGTTGCTGTTGTCTTTCTCAGCATGGCATCGTGCCCATTGTGGAGCCTGAGATCCTGCCTGATGGTGACCATGATCTGAAGAGGTGCCAGTATGTGACGGAGAAGGTCCTGGCAGCTATGTACAAGGCTCTGTCAGACCACCACGTGTACCTGGAAGGAACCCTTCTAAAACCCAACATGGTGACCGCCGGTCACTCTAGCTCCCACAAGTACGCCCCTCAAGAAATTGCCATGGCAACTGTCACCGCCCTGCGTCGCACTGTTCCTCCTGCCGTTCCTGGTGAGTCAGTTTCACTATTTCTTCATTCTGATAAATCCCCCTTCGAATGGCACTTCGGAATAATCATGGCCACAGTATTGAAGGGTTGTAGGGATGAGACCTTCAGAATATAACGCAGTGACTATCTTCGTTTCTGTGTTACTCCCACAATGCCAATTTTTTTGTATGAAAATCTCTGCAAACTGAATTGAATTTAACTATAAATTAGACATATAAATCATACGTTTTATGACAATACAGCCTGACATTGATTCTCCTAGACAGCCATACAATATTTGTCAAAACGTCAAAACATGGCACGATACGATTGTGATTTGAATTTGGTTCAGCGATATGTATATTAATATTGATATTATGCACTGTAAACATGCTGCTGCAGTAAGTAATAACTTAAAATTTGTTGAGATCATTTAAATATCCAAGTAAACCAGTAATATTAATTCAAGCACGAACACTTAATTTTTATTTATTCTTTTTTTTTTTTTACTCATTATAGCAAACATATAAATGAACTATTTGAAAATTGCAAATCCTGACACCAAAATAAATAGTTTTTTTTTGAAAATCAGAAAATATCCTCATTAGGGCATACACAACAAAATAAGGTGAAAAGAACATTTATACAGATAAATAACTATTAAAATGTTTAATTTCTGACTAATCTAAAATTCGATGACCGCTCAGTGACAATTTGACATTTTTATAACAAACAAGTCTTCTAGTATATCTCATAAATATGTAAAAATATATTGATTTTTTACGCATTGCATCGACACATCCTGTAGTTCAACGTTTGATCGATTCAAAGATCACAACTCCAATGTCTACCATCTTCTGCTCTAAAAGGCATTACCTTCCTGTCCGGAGGCCAGAGTGAGGAGGAGGCCTCAATCAATCTGAGCGCCATTAACCAGTGTCCCCTAAGCAAACCCTGGGCCCTCACCTTCTCTTACGGTCGTGCCCTGCAAGCCTCCGCACTGAAAGCCTGGGGGGGCAAGAAGGAGAATGGCAAGGCCTGCCAGGAGGAATTTGTCAAGAGAGCCATAGTACGTAAAGAACCTTACACAATGAAACGTTGATTATTTGGCCGATGCGTCTGTGCAAACATTTTTGACATCCATGATCTCACTGTTCCTGTTTTTTACTAATCTCATGTGTCAATTTCCTCTACAGAACAACAGCGCTGCAGCTGCAGGTAAATATGTCTCCAAAGGAGACAACGCAGCAGCGGCGGGAGAATCTCTGTTTGTGGCCAACCATGCTTATTGAAGAAACTCAAGTGACCATACTTCCGCTGACTCATCCGGCTGTTCACTCATGTACACAGTGTTACACATCATGTCTGTGATTTAGACTCACTGTTACTCCTGTAGTAATTTTTTCACTGTCATTTGACAATGATGTCAAAGAAAATAAGTCTCATTGTAACTGACCAGTCGGACAAAATTATCCAGTCTGCGCCTGTTTCATGCTGTCATTCTACTGATCTGTTCTATTTTTGCATCCGGTTTTTTTTTCACTAGATGTTTTGCAAAAGAATAAAGAACCAATGAACCAAACCCCTGATTGATTTTAAATTTAATGGTTTTAATAATTATCCGATTACATTATGCACTTGAGCAGTTTCAGATCTCAGAATCACTAATCTAATTATTATAAAACTGCCCAGAAAAGGTCTAATGTATAACAGAAGAAAGCTATCTGTTAGCATCTTAATGGCAGTTTTTTTTTTTTTTTTTACAAAACCTTTCCTGAGACTATCACATTTGACTCCAAAAAAATGAAATATTACAATAAAAACCATATAGCATTTTATTTTTTTAAATATATATTTATTGGCTTTTTATGCCTTTAATGGGAGAGGCCAGTAGAGAGCTAACAGGAAAGGTTGGGCGGAGAGGGAAGTGGGATCGGCAAAGGACCTCAATGCATCATATGTGACCCTGGACCACAAAAGCTTTCCATTGATGTGTGGTTTGTTAGGATAGGACAATATTTGGCCGAGATACAACTATTTGAAAATCTGGAATCTGAGGGCACAAAAAAATCTAAATATTGAGAAAATCGCCTTTAAAGTTATCCAAATGAAGTTCTTAGCAATGCATATTACTAATCAAAAATTAAGTTTTAATATATTTACAGTAGGAAATTTACTAAATATCTTCATGGAACATGATCTTTACTTAATATCCTAATGATTTTTGGCATAAAAGAAAAATCAATGATTTTGACCCATACAATGTATTTTTGGCTATTGCTACAAATATACCCCAGCGACTTAACACTGCTTTTGTGCTCCAGGGTCACACATGTCGACGCACTAACCACAAGGTTATCAGTGCCGACAAAATTATATATTATTTAAAAAAATATGTACACATCTATTTAGTATGTGTTCTCCTGCCTTTTAATGCTTGACTTTAAAAATTTTCAAAAATACTGTATTATGGTAATGTAATTTTAAAATGTTAAAAGTTAAAATATCACAGCACATTTTTGTAATGAGGTCTGGGGGCTAAAATGTGCTTAGGGTCATGGAAATAATCCAGTTGGAAAAAAAAACTTAATGGTCCTAGTTGTTCCTTCTTTTCTTATGATTATGGAATGAAATATGACCCATAAATAAGACCTGAACTTTCACTTCTACATTTTTTGAGGTTTGTATTTACAAGTTGGGAAGTCGTAATTATGAATTCCCATCTCGCAAAATATTTTAACTCTACTTCTACAAAATGATGAATAAATAATGTGCTTCAGATGTGTTTTGAAAAATTTTTTAGGTGCTGTAAATGTAATCATTACATATTTGATCATAATTATCATAATAGTACAATAGTATTGTATTTTTGTACATGCAACTTAGCTAGTATCAGAATACACAACCACTCTTCCCCACATAATGATGTAGCTACAGCATCTACCAGTTCTAACAGCATCTAACTGTTCGCAATAAACAGACAAAGGACTTTTTGGTGATTCACTAATGAGCTTTAATTTTTCAAATGTATTTTGTCTTTTTTCAAGTCATTCGGAATTTCCCTGTGCATTTTCTCTGTCACACATTCCTGTTCCCCTTAACCTGTTAGAGTTGCATGTGTGTGTGAGTCAGTTTAAAATGGCGAAGTGTGAGATGAGTGTAATGAAGAACACAACTCATTCCGAGCAGCTGAGTCCTTAGCCATCTTCAAGAATCGGCTAAAAACACATCTCTTCCATCTTTATTTGACCCTCTAACTCTAGCACTCTCTATTCTAATTCTATAATTTAACAAAAAAAACTTGCCCCTTTAGACTTGCACTCTATTCATTTACTAACTGCTTGTTTTCTTTAAAAGAACATTAGCTTCTCTAATCTTTTTGTATTCTATCTATTTGCTTTCTTTTTATTTATTATACAATTAACAAAAGCAAAAAAGGTCTCTAACACCAGCTTGCTCTTTTCTTTTTCTATTCTATCTGTTTTCTTTTCATTTATTATATAATTTAAAAGAAACTTGCTACGTGTACTGCGTGAAGCTAACTGAGACTTGTTACAGCATTTGTATATCATTGCTCTCTTGTTGATTCTGATTGCTTCCATTGTCTTCATTTGAAGTCACTTTGAATAAAAGCGTCTGCTAAATTACTAAATGTAATGTAATGTAAATGAAGAGAATGCTAAAATTAGAGTAGAGTGAGAAGTGAAGTGTGGCAGAGCTAGAGCATGTAAAGCTGCTGTCTGTGCCGCTGGACAAAAAGGTCACGAAGCCAATGGCTGCTCCTTCCACGTTCTCCGCGACCCAAGTGTGGAACTCAGAGACACGTGAATACACCTCTGGGAAACCTTCTTTAGCGCAGCCCAAACTCGTCCCAAAACTGGTGATCCCAGCCTGGACCCATACAGAACCCTGTTTGCACTGTAACGGACCTCCAGAATCTCCCTACAGAGGCAGGCAGAGAGCAGACAGAGAAACAGGACCAGTGAAAACATCAACAGCAGGGTTTTTTTAAAGGAATAGTTCACACTTTTGGTCTGATCCTGATGCAGTAGCTATCATATGGCTTCAGGAGACTTGTAATATTCAACTAAAGTTAAATGTACTTCTACTTGATTGGTACTTTTTATGGTGCTTTTTGCCATTTTGGAGCTTGACAACCCCAGTACTCATTCACTGCTGTTATATTAAAAAGACAAATATATTGCCACAGAATAAAATATAAAAATGATAACTGTGAATTTTTTATCTTAAAATCTGAATTGTAAGATTGAAAACTCAAAATTGTGAGAAAAGTCAGAATTGTGAGACTAACACATTTCTGAGTTCATATCTCTCAGTTGCAAGTTGACATCTAGCAATTCTGAATTCTTCTCTGAATTTTGAGATAAAACTCGCAACTACCCTTACATTCTGTGGTGGAAATAAGCTTCCATTGCGCTCACCTGACAGATTCCTTTGTCCGCTCTCCCTGCACAAATCATCAGTGGTGTGATTTTACCACCTGCTGGTTCATACTGGCAGGTACACTGTGAGTTGCCCACAACCGGGATTTCCACCTCCTGAAGAGTCTGTGGGGCCGGCAAAGCTTCTGTCATACACAGAGACACTGAGGGTTTGTGTGTGTCACTGACTCACTAACATGTTTAACCAAAAAAGGAAACATAACACCACTAATGGAAAATCTAACACTCAGTCTAGCAGATCTCTTAGACACTACTGTGACCACAACAGGCTGTGAGTTTTTCTTCTTCTTTTTAGCATTGTTCGTGTGAAATGGGAACACTATGTATGATAAGACAATAAAAGTAAAGTATAACTATAAATACGAAAATAACCATCCTATTTTGCAACACGGGAAGTAAGCTAGTTTCTGTGAATGTGCAAGATTTCCGATTTATTAGTCACTAGGTAAATAACTAGAAGAATAATAGTACAAACCAGTGTATTTATTATCACATCAATAAATTAAAATAATATGATAAGAAATACCATTTTGCAATATCAAACAACAGAAAGCTGTTTTACAGCTAAAATAACAAGGATGAAACTGGAAACCTTGCATATTCAAGTTACAAATAGCTGCACTCGCTGTTACATAAAAAAAAATAAGGAGACAGTGCTTCAGCAGAATTCTACTTTACTTAATGAACTTCGGAGCCACGGAATATGGTACAACTGTGAATCATGCGTATCAGCATGACTTCACGACAGTATTACTACAACAGATAATAACAATGAAGAACTGGTCCAGTTAACGGCCACAACAGTGTCACGAACCACTACTGTGAGGAGCACGCAGGATGCGAGGATCGAGAAGACATGGAGTAAACTTCAAACGAACAGACTTTAATAAACATCCAAGGAACCAGGAACACACACGTAGCGGAAAAAGACGAACATTCAATACCAGACCAAGAAACTAAGAACAGGACGCACTATAAATACACTTGACTTGACGATGGGATGACGAGACACACCTGAAACTAATGAAACAATTAACATTGGAAAACTAGGTCAGGGCAGGCACATGGAGAGGGAAAAACACACAGATATAGTCCAGGGGCGTGACATATCGCCCCCCCCCCTTCCGGAAGGCGCGTCCTCGCGCCGTAGAACAACAGAGGGGGGGCACGGGTGGGAACTTGGGAGGAGGCTCGGGAGGAGGACGGACACCTGGGAGGGGGCCGGCAGACAGAGTCCAGGGAGGGGACGATGGAGGGAGGAGCCATGGAAGCGACAGGAAGGAGCAGGAGGGGCCAAGCAGGACCCAGGCCATAGCCATGATGGCGCCCCATGGTGGAGCTGGGATGACGAGACACACCTGAAACTAATGAAACAATTAACATTGGAAAACTAGGTCAGGGCAGGCACATGGAGAGGGAAAAACACACAGATATAGTCCAGGGGCGTGACATATCGCCCCCCCCCCTTCCGGAAGGCGCGTCCTCGCGCCGTAGAACAACAGAGGGGGGGCACGGGTGGGAACTTGGGAGGAGGCTCGGGAGGAGGACGGACACCTGGGAGGGGGCCGGCAGACAGAGTCCAGGGAGGGGACGAAAAGGGGAGCCATGGAAGCGACAGGAAGGAGCAGGAGGGGCCAAGTAGGACCCAGGCCATAGCCATGATGGCGCCCCATGGTGGAGCCGCCGGCGGGAGGAGCCATGGAGGAGGAGACGGCGGCAGAGCAGGTGGCGGAGGTGCCCGAGGCGGAGACGGAGAGCCGATGAGCCAGGGCAACGGGGAGGATCCGGAGGGCCAAGGCGGAGCAGATGGTGCCGGCGACTGATGCAGAGGTGTGGATCCGAAAGGCCGTGGTGGAGCCGGAGCGACAGGGGACTGAGGAGGAGCCGAAGGGATGAAGGAGCCTGATGAAGCCGGAGGGACGAAGGGACGAGGCGCAGCCAAAGGAGTGGAATCCCGAGGCGCAGGATGGTCGACGCCAGACCAAGGCAGAGCCGAAGGGACGAGGGAGCCCGGTGGAGCTAGTGGACTGCCAGGCCACGGCGGAGAGGAGGGAACTAGGAGTCATGGTGGAGCCGACAGGTCCACGGGTCAAGGCGGAGTCCGGGACTTAGAGGCTGGAGGCGGAGTCAAGGGATACTCCAGCCACGGCGACGCTCGCACCGTGCTGATGGTGGGCTGAGGGCAAGCAGAGGGCCTGCCAGACGACAGCGGTGGATGAGGCAGGAGAGGGTGGGTGGGCGGGCATTTGTGAGCCTCTGGGCTTAACTTGGGACCAGGAGCCCTCTCAGGGCTGGACTTGGGAACAGGAGCCTTCTCTGGGCTAGACATGGGAACAGGAACTTTCTCTGGGCTAGACATGGGAACAGGAACTTTCTCGTGGCTAAACTCGGGGACTGGAGCCCTCTCTTGGCTAGACTCGTGGACTGGGTCTCTCTCTCTGCTGGACTGGGAAATGAGAGCCCACTCAGGGCTGGACGGGACCTGCAGGGACAAAGGATAGAAGAGAGGGGGCAAGTCGGCTTCTAGCTCTGTTTCCCAGTCTATAAGTTTCCCCTCGAAGTCTAGCAGTCCCAACTGTATAATCAGCTCACCCTCAGCCACAGTGCAGTGGGCGGAGCTCCACTCCGCACTCTCTCTGTCCATGGCATTCTCCCTCGTGGCGGGCTCTGTTGCCAGCTCTCGCACCTTGACTGACGTCACTTGCAGCTCCGGCTCCGTGGTGATTCGTTTCTCTGTTGCTCCATGCGGCAACGGCTCATTGGCCGCGGCGAGCTCGGGCTCTCCGCCAGCGGTGGGCTCGGGAATGCTCTCAGCGCAGCGGGGAGATGGTAAGCTGGGCACTGGGTCCGGGGTGGCACTGGCGAGATCCCCCTCGGGACAGACTGTGAATCTCGTCAGTGTCCACTCCACAAATGCGGCGAAATTCGCTCCAGGGCCTCGGATGAAGGCGCTCTGTATGCCGAGTTTAGACTGGCATCATAGAACGCACAGAGCACGTCGTCCAGCTAGCTGGAGAGGTTGGCGAGGAACAGGAACAGTCTGGCGTGGCCCTCGAGCAATCTTTCCACTGATCTACAATGACTTCTATATTATAGATCAGTGGTTTTGGCCAATTCTTTAGCTGGTCAGGCTGGGAGACCAGCCAACCAGCTTAAGATGATTTTATCAGGTTTTTTGTTGTTGTTGTTGTTTGTTTGTTTTTATTTTTGTTTTGTTTTCAGTAGGGTTCACGCAACTACTCACAAAAAAGGCTAACACCACCAAAACACAGCTGTGTGTGTCTCATACTCTCATTTCACCACTAAACCAAAAATAATTTGGCAGGGGGTCGAAAATGGGCACAACACGCAACACTGATGTCGTTAGTGACATTGGCTCTGATGAGATGGTCTGACGTAACCATGGCTACAGCAGTATGCTTCAAACTATCAGATCTTTTCGCGCATTTCTACTAGGCTATTCCGAATTCCGCTCTATCCCACTCATTCCTACTACGTAAGTAACTTAAAAAATGCTATAAATGTTTTTCTTAAAAATATATAAACATTTTTTTTTTGGAGGTTGAAATGTGACCTGGTTAGTCATGAGATTCACTGGTGTTCTCAATAGGCCTGGGAGATAAAACGGTATCAGTATTTATCGAAGGTACACCGTCATCGATAACGATAGAAAAATGTTCGATGTAGCGCACGATAGCTTCACGCTTTTTTCATTTATAGGCACGTGTTATGAGTAACAGCCAACAGAACACACAAACACATGCTGAAATGAGTGCCGTGCCTGCCTGCGATGAGGAGACTGTGAATTTTAAAAAAAAGAATGTAGTCGAATTTAAAATAAAAATTTGCATTCGAATGCAAAAACGTTGTATCTAAATTTTAGGTGTGAGTAAGGGAGCCTTATCAGCGGTGCACGAGATGCGGTGAGGATGTAGCCTAATAAGTGTCGTTGCATTTTAATGTTTTAGTTAGTCTATCCAGTTGAACCCACAAGATTTCATTCAAAATATTAGAGAAATACAGAATCTCAATGCGGAGAAGATATTGGTTAAGTTAAAACTGAAACCAAGCCATTCACAGAGAACGCATATTCGGCGCTTTTTTGAGACGCACAACTATGACTGTTGCACTCGCGTCTCACACAAGAGATGAATAGAAAGCCATGTAAAGTTAAAAGAGGTTAAACTTTTAGAAAACATGTCTGGAGAATTTGTCTGGAGAATCTCAAGCTGTAAAAGCTACAATTTACAGTGTAAAAGCATGCTATTAAAATATGAAATCTAGGGTAATCAGTTAATGGAGAGTTGTTTTATAGAGGTTAGAACTGTAGAAATGTTATCTTGTGCATTAAAATACACATCAAATACATGTCTTTAAGTTGTGAAATACTAGTTTTGGTACACTCACGGTTTTTGCCAATGTTTCCCCAGCCTGTAGCCCAGCAGGATGTGGCGTTGTGAAAGACACTCCCTTTGGATGCCAGGCACACCGGACGAATGTATTGAGTGAAGGTCACAGGTTGACTCAGTTTCATCAGGGAGATGTCATTATTGTAAAGTGTGTTGTTATACTTTGGATGGACGATGATGGACTGAATACCAACCCTTACTTCATTTGCGTTTGGGTTGCTGGCCAGGTTGTTTTGGGTGTGTCTTCCTAAGTACAGTGTCCAGGTGCTGAGGTTAGTACTGTTGCAAATAGAAAGTTAGAAATAAATATTTGAAAAAAGTGTCAGTAAATTTGCTACCACACTTATGGAATCAGTTTAAAGATTATAGGAATAATTCACAAAGTAAAGCGAGCCGAGTTGAGCGAGTCATACCATGCAGTGGAAAAGTGCCATAATGCTACATTTCTACAAATCTGTTTTGATGAATAAACAAACTCATCTACATCTCGGATGACCTGAGGGTGACTACATTTTCAGCTAATTTTCATTTTTGGGTGAGCTATTCCTTTAAATTACTAAAGATTAAAAAATCATAAAGCAGCCCTTCTTACGAGATGATGCAGTGAGCGGCCGTCATCACCCATTGACTGTGGATCAGGGTTCCTCCACAGATGTGTGTGCTTTTGTAATGGACACTGACCTGCCAGGGCCAGTTACCTGCTGGGGCATCAGTGCCGCCCACTACACGTGTGTTTAGAGGAGCTACTCCACAATCTGTAGTCACTAAATTATAGATTACAGATAAAAACCGTCAAATCAGCATATTAGAATGATTTCTGAAGGATGATGCTGAAAATTCCACTTTAATCACAGGAATAAATTACATTTTAAAGTACATTCACATAGAAAACATTTTTTATATATTGTAATACTATTTCACACAAGTTTACGGTTTTTACTTGTTTTTTGATCAAATAAATGCAGCCTTGGTGAGTGTAAGAGACATCTTTGAGAAACATGAAAAAAATCATAATTATTACAAACTTTTGCCTGGTAGTGTATTTTGTGCCGCTCTTACCGTTTACTCTCTGTGCATTTGAGCCTGCAGAGTAAAAGCAAACAATTTCAAAATGTTAAATCATTTGCTTAATCGGGACTTCACCCGAAAGGAAGAAATACATGAAATGCTAATAATAACTTATGCAATTTTGCTTCTCATGTAAATGCATTTTGTTTTAAGGATGTTGTCATATTCTTATTGGAAAATGACAAAAATAGTCGTTAAGAAAATTATTTTCTGTGGTGACTCTCACAGAATGCATTTGAAACTCCGTGCTTTTTTCACGTCAAAAAATTAAACCTTTTTTTTATATAAAATATGGTTCACATTCGCTTTTGACTCTGCAAACACACATAATCATATACTCATAATCAAACAGTTTCTGTGGTGACTCTCACAGAATGCATTAGAAACTCAGTGCTTTTTTCACATTTCAAAAAATGAAACCTTTTTTTATATAAAATATAGTTCACATTCGCATTTGACTCTGCAAACACACATAATCATATACTCATAATCAAACTTACACTCCATACTGAACATCATGGCCGTAAAGCTGAGCGTGCTTTTTTCACGTCAAAAAATTAAACCTTTTTTTTATATAAAATATGGTTCACATTCGCTTTTGACTCTGCAAACACACATAATCATATACTCATAATCAAACAGTTTCTGTGGTGACTCTCACAGAATGCATTAGAAACTCAGTGCTTTTTTCACATTTCAAAAAATGAAACCTTTTTTTATATAAAATATAGTTCACATTCGCATTTGACTCTGCAAACACACATAATCATATACTCATAATCAAACTTACACTCCATACTGAACATCATGGCCGTAAAGCTGAGCGTGCTTTTTTCACGTCAAAAAATTAAACCTTTTTTTTATATAAAATATAGTTCACATTCGCATTTGACTCTGCAAACACACATAATCATATACTCATAATCAAACTTACACTCCATACTGAACATCATGGCCGTAAAGCTGAACAGGATCACTGACAACCCCATGACTGAAGTGCAAGATAGTGAAGAAGAGCTGTCTTACCTCTTTCGCTCTCTTTACATCACCTGTTTGGTGTGGTCAGACACAAGTAGGCCAGTTGTTAATATAATAAAACAGGTTTGACTTGTCTCTTTCTTTCTTATTTATGAAAGCATGCATAATGACTGTGATGTCACCTAAAACGCGACCTATATCCTGTAAGTACACACAATTAATATTTTTCAGGTTTTTAATATTCTTTATCCTTGAAACGTGTTTTATTAGAATGTACTGGGTTTGACCCCACATAACTTGACAAAATTACATTTTGATTGGAAATTAGCTATTTTATGGTATTCTATTCAATATATTCAGTTTTTCTTTAAATGAGGTCATGCTCTTTATTGACATTGTTGCCACCATAGTAACCATTACTTTATTTATTTAGTAAGTAATATAATACTTTAGTAACTTATAATACTTTATAAGTAATTTATTTATTACTTTTCTTTCTTTCTTTCTTTCTTTCTTTACATAATAATACAAAAACAAACTTTATTTGAGGGAAAATTGTTGGTTGTGATGGAAATGAAGCCACATCTGAGATAATTTGTGCAGATATTTATAAAATAAAATAAAAAATAAAAATAAAATGTATAACAAATATTGAAATGGTTTATATTTCCTTCACTCTTAGTTTCGATTATAAGAGGTTTTAAAATGTAAGAATAATTTTATGATGGATTTTAAAATGTTCAACCCCTGCCAACCCATTTTTATGAGTCTGATGCATTCACTCTTTTGTTAGCAATATTTGATAGGTTTATGCATACAATGTCAATGCAATGTGTATGTGATGCCACATAGCAATGTATGGACATATACAGTAACTATAAATCTTTGCTTTGAATTTGATGCTCTTTTGTTACATCTAAAAGAATCATATAGTAGCTCTAGCTGTATTGTTTTCTTCTTTGGCTTGGATACATTGCTTCTTTGTGTATTATTGTCATTTGTAAATAGCTTTGCATAAAAGCGTCTGCTATAGATGAAAGGATGTAAAAACAAACTGTAAATGAATGGATTTTCCAGATAGTGATTCAACAGGTCAGACTCTTAAGCACTTGATCTGTAGGTGGAATGATGCCATGAAATGACATTAGAGTCATGCCTATTGCGTCATGCCTATTGCTTCAGAGTTATGAAACCACTCAAGTGTCGCTCAGTCATTAAATGACCATACAGACAATCAAGAGCACAAGGTTTGGCTGGTTAGCTGTTATCCCCTACTGGTAGATGCTGTAACTACAACATTTGGGTAAAATCTTTCTCCACTTACGGACATTCAAAAGCAAACAGCACATATACATGACTCTGTCTTTAAAATGTAAAGGCAGCTATATTTATATACATGTCAGGATGCAAGGCCAAGACTAATTATGAATTCTCAAACTTGAATATTTCAAACTTTAAACTTCACAAGCCCTGTAATAACATCTTGCTTTGATTTGCAGCACAAAAGCGTACTATGTTAATGCCTTTAATATATATTCAGACTACTTGAGAAAATTCAGTTTGTCATGCAATAATGTTATCATTCTTCATTATATAGAGGAGAACTAAACAGTGTTAAAATGAATGTTGAAATGTGTAACAGTGGACCCTTTATTCCTGTCTAAGGGGCCCTGTGTTTCTTATTTTCTCTCTCTCTTTCATTCCCTCTGTCACTGTAAATCTTCTTTTTACTCTTTTTGTTGCATTCTAATATATCTTCCACAACCTATCCTTCCTTTACCTTTCTAATCCCAGTTTAACCCTTATTTCTTTGAAGATTCTTACTGTGAAATTGTCAGACCTCTCTCAACTGAACTTGAGAAACAGTATAGTCAGAGTCAGAATCAAACAAAGGGTTATTTGCTTGATTGGTAACATTTAAAATACATAAAAAATTTAATAAAAAATAAATATAAAAAATACAATTAAAATGCATTTTGAAGAAATTCACCTCGTTTCATTGGAACAAAAATCATCTGAAAAATATGAATGAGAAAAGTATTAGCTGAACAAGCAGCAAACAAGCTTTGTGTTATGCAGTGATAACCATATTTATCTGATCTGGGGTGTTGCGCTTGGAGATATGACAGTGTTTGATATATCACCGATTCGACTGAACACAAATGTCAGTATCTTTATAGATACACCTGGCTGAAGAGTGTGAATTCCAGTCATGGAAAACAATACTCTGATCCACTAATAAAGCTGGTTATTGTGTGGTCAGAGTTACAAATATTGTATAGCACAAGCTTCTAAAACTCCTTATTAAGTTAATGTTTCACCACAGGTGGAGACAGATTAGCTGAAGTAGAATGGTGAAAAAAGTGTCTCTTCCGTTTCCTCCTAAATTCAAGTACAGTTAATTTACAGTTATTTTTTACTGAGGCCCAAGATTGCTGGTGAACCCCAATTTGAGTTGGGTCACTATACAGCATGAATGTAAAGTAGTCCAGAACATTGGATGGAGGCCAGATTGAATTTTAAGTGACCACTGTCCTAAAAGTGTCTTTGAAGATCTCTCTCTCTCCCTCTCTTAGTAGCCCTGTGTTTACCCTCTTCACACCATTTAACTTTCTCTCTCTCTCTCTCTCTCCTAGTGATCAAACTGAATGACTGCATTGAAAAGTAGATATAAAGTTTGTACACCCCCTTTTCACGAGCACTCAGCATCTTTTCCTTTGCTCGCTTGATCCCCGCCTACTGTCCCCTGCCCCTATATAAGTGTGTTTTTCAGTATGCATGACAAAGAGCAAGAAGCAATGAAAGGAAATAGAGTAATGATAAGGAGTATGTTCACACTTCAGTAAATCGCAATGAAGTTTAAAGTCCTGTTCTATTTATGGTTGTTGGGCCTAATAAAGCCTGGTGAGTACTAGCCCATGCCTCTCATTACAGCAATAACATATTTTGTCTGTCTAAATGTATCGTTTTAAGTTAAAGTTCTTTTAATCTTCGTTAAGATGTTCAGTATAGGAATATTACATTTGAATTGAAAGCTGTGTTATTTTCACGTGAATATCAGTAATAGATCAAAACGAAACACAAAGGATTCAATGCAGATACTGGCAAACCATGTGTTGTCAATTGTCCATACCTTACAAAGATAATAAATTATACAGAGAGTAAATAAATGGCACTTTAAGACAATCTAACAATGTGAGATGCATGTTTTTCTCAGTAAAAGTGGCGTCTGTTAAACAAAATATCAAACTATGTACATGAGCTGTTGTTTACTTGCTCCTGAATATTGAGAAAACAAAGCTTTAAGTCAACTTCGTGAATAAATGCTGGTAGAATATGTGCCATATATTTTATAATTGTTTATAATTGCTTTAAAACTGTTAAACTGAATTTAGACATTTAAAGAGAACTAGACATGTTACCATCTTATTTTGCAGTCACTTTTTTAATGCTTTGTACTTCCATATATTATTGAAGATAATCAAACCATGAATATGGAGGAACAATGAACAATAACTACTGCATGTGTTTCATATTTTAATCCAGAAATGTCCACGTTCAACCATCGCACTGATGGATTGTTTGTTTCTCAAGTATACATTATTCCAATGCCCTCCTTTATTCTATATGAACAATATTAGTTATTGAATAAACTATTATCAGTGACTTATTATTGTTATTATTGTTATTATTATTAACTAGTAAAATGTACTTTTTTTTCCAAAATATTTTTTTCCATAATTATTTTTCTTTTTACTGTAAATATTTATTTGTAGTGTACTCTGTCAATAGAGATAAAAAAATGTTTTATCAGAAATGCAAATATAATGGAGAACACTGGGAACTTCAATGACGAAAGTCTAAATAGGCCTAAATGTAAATGTTAAATCTGTAAGATTCTGTTCTAGAGGTTTATTCAACCATAATTTTTAAGCCACCATGTTAACACCATCATTTTTTAAAGCAGACCTAAACCAAGCACAGGCTTAGAGCAACTCTGCTTGTTTTTGCTTTAAGAGTGAACATTGAAATGCTTGTCCTTTCATATTTTTCTGACATTCTCAGGCACCTCTGCAGATGTCTCTGTGTCTCCGGGCTCCTCAGCTGTCCTCAACTGCTCCTTTACATTGCCGCCTCTAGTTGATGATTCACTCTTAAACATCACCTGGTCCTTCAACGGTTTAGTCCTTGCCTCAAGGAACCACACTCAACCGGGCTTCTTCTTGAACACCACTGCCTTCTTCATTGGCTCCTTCCCACTGACTGTTTACAATGCCACTCCAGACCAGCAGGGGGTGTATGAGTGCAGGGTGAGCTACAATGAAACCAATTACTCCACAGATGTGACTCTGACAATATTAGGTGAGTCTCAAGTGCGTCACGTAGATCATTGGTATGAAATAGTGGATGCTGTTGAAAAACAGAGGACCAATGTCCAACTTATTCACATATATAAATATAATACATATCCCACAGGCAAACAAACTTAACATTAGAGTTGCTTTCTAAATCTCTTACAGTTCCTCCACTGGTCTCCATCA